CTCCACGGCTAGATGAGTGGAGGATGGTCGTCAACGTTGGTAAGACAACCTCTCTGCTCACTCGCCGCCTCAGGAACCTACCGCCACCGCTAACCCTCAATGGCCAGAAGATCGCGTACGAGAAGGCCGTGACCTACCTTGGGTGCCAGATTGACCGGGCGATACGCATGACTGCGCACGTCGACTTCGTCCTTCGTCCGCAGAGCCAGATGTGCTCGGGCGATGCTCCCTCCAGTCCTGGCATCCAAGCTACCACTTAAGACCAAAGTGAAGATATACAAGATGTATATAAGACCCATCATCACCTACGCTGCTCCGGCCTGGTACGCGCTTTTGAGCGATCCTCTGAGGCGGCGACTGCAGGCCCAGCAGAATTTGACTTTAAGAACCATTGTCGGTGCGGGTCGCTACGTCCGAAATGACGTCATAGCGGCCGACTCAAAGGTAGAAACCATCCAGGACTTTGTGGCCCGGTAGGCACGCGGACTGTTCGACCGCGCAGACAACGGGCCACACATACATCTAAACAACTTAGCGCCGCTACACACTCGCCCACCGGACGGGCGACCTTATCCAAGAGAACTCCTCTCTATAGATTAGAGAGTTGAGAAACAACCCACAATGCCGCTGATAGGCCAACTTTGACACCTCAAGACAACCCCCTTTTTTCGTAGTCTTAACCGACTACGAAAAATTTACCAATTACGGACTAAATCCGTAAAATGATCAACAACGCCTAAATAAGGCTCCCATGACCGGCCCATAGTAGTGGGCCGCGAGGATAATCCGGGTAATGGGGCACACCCCGAGGCCCGAGACCTGCAGGACCTAAGCAGTTCTCGCAGATGACAACACTGAGTTTTCCCTTTGACCTTTTGTTGTTCTTTAGTTTCAATCTGAGCTCGCAAAGAGCACCTTAAAATATAAATTTTAATTAATTACCTGACCAAAATTTATAATGAAGTTAAAGTTAGTTTCACCTTTCAAATTTCGTAAATAAAAACCAGTAAATAGCATAAGTATACTAATGTAATAATGCTGTTCTGATACTCAAACTTGCAGACACCGAGAAACAAAAGAAACACAGTTTTTTTTGTTTTCAATAAATGCGATTCGTTGCTCTTCACAACACACCATAAATGAGGATTTTTGTGAGTTTCCCGTAATTGTGATTATACCCCCCTTATTCTAGTGTTTTAACAATAAACGAGTACATAATATTTTGGAGCGTAAATAGATCAGTCACCCTCGCCCACACTACGTGGAGATAATTGACGTCTAAATAAAGAACAAAGTCCCAGAAAATATGTATGCAGGACTTATCTATGCAAGACATTGAAATTCCAAAAGGAACGCCACAAGGTAAACATATTTATTTGGTTGAACATGTATAATTTGAACTTCGCGTAATATTTGTTTATTTAATTCTTTATCACACATACATTGATGATTTGATGAATTTAGTTTAAATATGTACACATGCTACACATACGTAAAATATACATACACATATAACACATACACACACACACATATATATATATATACAGTGTGTCCGGTCACGGACTAGCGATATTTTAGTTACTTATAATACAGCTATTTTAATATAAAAATACACTACACACTGAGGTCTAATCCCCTCACCCTCTATTTGGCAGCCATTTTGTTTTTCTCTTGAGATATTCTCTACGCGTTTACGAAAAAAGTCATATCTCTGAAAGTTTTAGTCATACTGAGATAAAAATTAACTCATTCGGAGGCCAATAATATTGTTTATCGTTTACATTATCAAAATTTTTGTTGACATACTTGTAACTTTGAAGAAAAAAATTTAACTTCAAATAAATATCAAAAAAATATGCTAATCGGCAAATTATTGTAAATTACTGCAAAAACCACCCCATTCACCCTTTTTATTGTTTTACTAGATCGACAGATTTTGAGTTAAGCTACAACACAACATAAAGTTTACAGCTTTATCTTTATTACTTTAAGAATTATTGTTGTTTGAACATAGCATATACGCAAAAAAAGGAGTAATAGTAATCTGAGATTACTTATGATCTTCGATGAATTAGAGATGATGAATTAGAGATGAGAGAATCAGAATCATCATTTATAAGTAGTATAATTTGAGAGCAGGCAGCACAGAACACTATTACTCCTAGGCAGGCAGTGCCAGTTGTCACTTAACAAAGGCCTTTTGTGTTTGGGCATACGCCATGTTCAAACAACAATAATTCTTAAAGTAATAAACATACAGCTGTAAACTTTATGTTGCATGGTAGCTTAACTCAAAATATGTCGATCTAGTATAAAAATAAGAAGGGTAAACGGGGTTGTTTTTGCAGTAATTTACAATAATTTGCCGAGGAGATTAGACCTCAGTGTGTAGTGTATTTTTATATTAAAATAGCTGTATTATAAATACCTAAATCCCTGTATTATAAATACCTATCGCTAGTCCGTACTGTACTACTGTACACTGTATATATATATATAAACATAATTGATACACTTAATATAAAAATAAATAGACATTTACACATATATATCTCTATATTCAACTTAATGTATTGTGTAGGCTTATATCAAATTATCTCAAAAATAATATTTTTAGTTATTATTTTCATTGTCTATACATATTAACATGGTATTAATATAAAGATATTATTATTATTAATTTATATCCATTTAAAATTTATACTGTGGGTGTCGTAAGAGGCGACTATGTGAAATGTTTTTTTTTAGTTTCCGACAGATCGTTGTGTAACAGTATTATAACATTTTTTAAGGTGACTTCCTCGTTGGCCTTTTGGTCGTAAACGCGATTGGTAATCATAAGGTAACGGATTAGAATCCCGTGTCTGGCTAAAATCTGTTTTTAGCTAAAATAATCTTTTTCTTTTTCTGTTAAGAAATTATAAGTGTAGCAGCCTGGAGTCTGAGTCCGCTGGTGGTGTTTTACCCCCGTGCATTGGAATGCACGTAAAGCATTTTAAGTTCTATTCCTGATCTTTCCTGAATACCTGATTATCGTCCGTTTGCGTAATATTTAGCTTGAAAGTGGTATTTTTAGTGTAACATAGATACTTATATGTTACGTTAACGTATAAGTAAACCTCTGCACATTAAATAAAAATATACTAAGCGGATTTTTCGTTACTCTACACGATCAAAACTTTTAGAAAATGGTTGATATTTTTGATAAGGTTGCTATGCCAACAAAAAATGTATATTTAATAAATCACAATATGCATAAATCTTTACAACAGTAAAACGTTAAGAAACATGCAATCAACGTTACTAGTAGCATCAAAGCTACTTAGAAGAAACGTTAAAGCGCGATATTTCAAGATTATAAATAGACATAACTCGACATCGAGCTGAATATTAAACATAGATACGCTACCACGCACAGTATTAGTTATTCGTGCATAATACTATAAATATACAATAAAAACTGATATTTACTGTTATTTAATTTAGCTGGTACATTTGTATCTTGACAACAGTTATTTATTTTTTTTTCCTCATTATTTTTGTCTTTGGTGTCGCTTATAACCACACAATGAAAAACATGAAATATCGGTATATTTACGAGTATAGTACGAGTTCTACCGTGGGCACCAGTGCTGCAGAAACAGCTTGAAGGATTAATAATGTATACGGCGCTGGTGTCGCAAAAGAAAGAACGGTAAGTTTTTGGTTCCAACGTTTTCGTTCTGGAAATTTCGACCTTCAGCACCAATCCCGTGGACGGCCGGAGACCAAACTAAAAAATGAAGAATTAACGGCCATTGTGAAAGCGTGTGTATTTTCTTAATCTTGAACCCTCTCAAAAATAAAAGGAGGTTTGTACCCAGCAGTGGGACATTACAGGTCGTAACGTTCCATTTTTCATTAATTACCGCCTATCAAGTTGAACATAGACCTCCGCATATATGGCTTCATAAGGGGAATATTTGCTAAAGTTGTTTTATATTAAGTAATACAAATAATGAAAATAAATAGTGAAATGTACAATGATTGCAATTTTACAATAACGTCTAAATAAAAAAGTAAAGAATTGTCAAGACAAAGTTCGTTATGAGAGGACTGACGATAGAAGCTTTTGAACTATTGTTGGAAAATCTTAATTGAAATATAAGGACTCTAGCGGAACGTGACTGGACCCTTTAGATGTTTATTACGTCGTTCCGTTACGTAAATAAATATCAAAAGTATAATGACTCAATATGGACTATGGAATCGAATAAGATATATTAAATATTTGTCTAATAGAAGTCCCATTTTGAACAAAATACATTATTGCAAAAGACAAACGACAAAGTTATATGCCAGGTTTCCTAGGGTAAGTTACGAGATCCGGTGAACCTTTTTTATTGGTAACGAGGCGAACCATCTAAGTCTTTATTGGTGAAAGCGTATCAATTCCTTTATTTTTATTCTATAAAATCTAAATGTCACTACCTTCACCAGGTGGACTTTTTGAGCTTTTCTGTTGCACTGAGCAAGGGTATCCCTTAATTTCATGGTGATGGAAATTTCCCTCGTTAAGAATTTTTGTCTTTATTTTTAGTTTGTGATCCGAATGAATTTATTTACGGACATGTATATGAACATCGATGTTTAGGCAACATTTTTGAACGAAACATAGAACTGTCAATGTCAACTGTCATGGTCAATCATCTGTTCAAGTGAAACGATAACTACTTGTGGTTTGTGGTGTTTCTGATTGTTAGTTTGTGAACTTATACGGACAATTAATTTGAAAAAATTATTATTTCATAAAATAAGGTAAGTTTTCAATACCTAAGCAATTTGTTTTAGAAAAATCATAGTTTTTAGATGTATTCTGGGTCTTTTTTGTTTATGATGGAAATTTCCATCAATATGCATTAGTCGTAGTTCTCGATGTATGGAAACCTAACTTTTCAGCACTATTATTCTTTTATAGTTTATCTCAAGTTTATAATAATTTTTATGTAATATTTCAGCAAAAAAACAGATTGTCTGCTCTGGAAGGAGGATATCTGTCAGAAGATGGCATGGAAATGTCTGATACGGAAGATAATGAGGAAAGTATCTTTTACACTAACAGAAATGAACCACTGCAAGACGTAGAGGATGATGATAATCTGGAAAATGAACCTACTTTACATGAAGAACAAGTTGATGTGCATGATCCCCCTCTGATTCTAGAAACTGTGGCATCTAAAGCAGGAGAAAACTCTGCTTGTTCGACTTGGGTGTTAGACAAGAGGAAGCCGATTTGGAAGAAGAGTACATTTCAGTTTTCTGAGTCAAATATTAAATTTGAAGGAAGCACTGATCTAGGTATTGAAATAACAGCCCTAAAGACACCATATCAATGCTTCAACTATTTTTTTACACCTGAACTTTGTAACAAAATAATATCAGAAACTAATCTATATGCCACCCAATTAAATCCTGAAAATAGATTTAATTTGTCTCATTATGACCTGAAAAAGTTTTTAGGCATTCTGCTTTACATGTCTGTTCAGCATTTCCCCAGCACACGCAAATACTGGTCAAGGCGTTTTGGATTTGAACCTATAAAGCAAACTATGAATGTGAATACATTTGAAAAGATCAAAAAATATATCCATTTCAGTGATAATGACAAATATATACCAGTTAACCAACCAGGACATGACCGCTTACATAAGGTGAGACCAAATATTGATAGTCTAAATCAAACCTTTTCCAGTGTGAAACACATCAAATACTATCAATTGATGAACAAATGTGTGCCACCAAAATGGGACATTATCTAAAACAATATCTACCAAATAAGCCCCATAAGTGGGGATTTAAGTTGTATGTTTTATGTAGTGTTTTTGGATTTGCCTACAAATTTGAAATTTATTCTGGCCAAGACATTTCTACAAGACCTGAAGGTGAGCCTGAACTAGGTTCTACACACAATAATATTGTGCTTCGCTTAACCAGAGATGTTCCACGAATGGTCAACCATATTATCTTTTTTGATAATTTCTATACATCTGTGCCATTAGTTATCTATTTGGCTAAGCAAGGAATACATTGCCTTGGCACAATTCAACAAAACAGAATTCCTAATAACAAACTACCAGACAAAAAAAGAGATGATGAAAAAAATACCCCTAGGGGTACTTATGAAGAAAGAACAGCATCATATGACGGAATTGATTTAGCTTGCATGGCATGGAAGGACAATAAAATAGTGACTATGTTATCAAGTAACGTAGGAGCAGAGCCTGTTTCAACCGTCAAAAGGTTTGATAAAAAGACGAGGGAAAGAGTTGATATATTGTGTCCAAAGTCCATTACAGAATATAACAGTCATATGGGGGGTGTTGACTTGTTAGATAGTTTCTTGGGTAGATATCACATAAGAGTAAAATCTCGCAAATGGTATATTCGTATATTTTTCCATTTGTTTGATCTGGCTGTTATCAACTCCTGGATTATATATAAAAATAATGCAAAAAAAAGGAAATGTTGTAAAAAAGAACATTTTAAACTTAGGTGAGTTCAGAAACGAGCTGGCCTATGTTTTATGTAACTCAGGCACAAATGAAAATAAAAGAGGTCGGCCTAGCTCTTCCAGCCTGGAGCAGGAGTTGCAAGCTAAGAAGAAGAGGTTACAATCAAAAGCAATCCCTCCATTGGATATACGGATGGATGGTCTAGGGCACTGGCCAGATGTTGGTGTGTCGCTTCGTTGTAAGTATCCACATTGTACAGGATACACCACCATAAGCTGTGCCAAATGTGGCATAAATTTATGCCTAAACAAAAATAATAACTGTTTTCACTAAGTTCCACACTACCTAATATCAAATATGGCAATTACCTATATGTATATTAACTCTAAGTACATAGTGATGGAAAAATCCATCGCATGATTTATAACATATTATATGAAAAAAAAAACTTACTACAACTATTTTAACACTTTTTTATATAATAAAGAAACTTTTTCTGCATTGTGCATAATTTTTTTATTTTTAAATCCATAATCATAAATATTCTATGCATTTAAGTGATAAGGGTTACCTAATTGTATTTCGTGGGTGAAGGTATTAGCTGTATAATTAATTAAGCAGTTTTTATTTTTAGATTAATAAATAAGGAAGAGTAAAGTAAAGTAAAGAGTTTAGATTAATAAATAAAAATAAATAAGAAAGAGTAAAGTTAATAGCAAAATTGTCATACAATGATAGTGTAATAGAATCCATTTATAGATTAATGGACAAAAAAGTACACAATCCGCCTGATGGTAAGTGAACGCTGCGTGTGACCAATATAGACCTACACCTATATTTAATCAAGAATCAAAATGCAGATGAATGCACTTGTCACCCTTGAGGACTAGGATAGAATGCCACATTTCCAGTAATAAAGGTGTGTGGTTTTTTACATTCCGCACGGACCGCAGCAGAAATTAGTGACTATTTTACTTTGGTCGGTTTGAGAGCGTGGTCTTTTCGCAGTAAAGATGCCTCACTCGTGCCACAATCATAATATAGCTGAAACGTCCCGTCTGTGTCAGATTACCGTCCGTGTGCGTAATATTTAGCTTTAAAGTGGTATTTTTAATTAGAGTTTTGAACCCCCCCCCCCCTCTATCAACTAAACCTCTGTTTCTGAAAATATGAAAATTATACACAATAGCAGTATATAATATAATGAATTAAAAAGAAAACTATCGCAGCTAATTAGAATTAACAAGTTAACGAGTAAAAACAAAACAACTTACTAAAATGCATTTGGATTAATATAATTTTCATAGAAAATGACCTAAAACCAGCTACATCATAACTTTGCAATGTTATTAAAACTGTGTGAAATATATATCATAAAGAAAACGACTTATATGCAATACTATAGATTAAGTTTATCATTTACGGGATAGAAAGCACTTAGTTACTACTTTCGCTTATTGTTTAGTCGGTTGTTATTCTAGGCCTCATTCATGTATTAAAAATAATTAAATTATGAGATATTAAAAGATGTAAAAGAAAAAACTCTTATCCTCTTATTTCTGTTGTAAACATGATTCAAAATGGCAAGACTTTTTATAAAGTTAGGTTGACAAGCGAGTACATCGTCCGTCCACCTGATGGCAAATGGATGCTGTGCCACATAGAAATTTACATCCTCGATTAAGAATCAAAATCTAAATGCATTGTCATCCGTGAGGACTAGGATGGAACGCCTTGTTCACTATTCGACCCACTCGTGCTGCAACCACAATATAGCTGCAGCTGGCTCTACCACATATATTATACACATTGTTGATGCTGAGAACACAAATACGCTATTTCTTAATTACACAGCATGTGTGTATTGGCGAATTCTAATTAAATAAAATTCCCGTAGAATTGATTTAAACCTTAAGGTGATCCTAACTTAGAAGAATATATTAAAAATAATTGCGGGTATATAATCGCAGGCATTTTTATTTGCTTTAACAAACCTTGTTAGTGCTATTAGCATTTACTTCTTTAGACAATTAAAGTGAGTGTTTAATTAAAATAAAAATATGCCCTTAACAATTTATTGCAAAAAGAGTATTATTATCTTTGGACTTAATTTATTTGATACCTTTGTTTTCATCGCCTGTAAGTCGACTGAGGAGAGAAATTGAAATGAATAAAAGATGAAATCGTGGAGGTTGGGATTAGATTTCAGATATCGTTCGATGAATTCAATATACACAGTATGAAAAGAAATGCGATCAGATAAATATATTCATTTGATTGAACATGAATTTATGACTTACGTGTAATATTCAACTAGCTCAACATATGCCGTAGGTTGATATCAAAATATCTCAGAAAATCACCTTTAGTAATTATGTCTCTTATGTTTAAAATAATATTATTATTGAAATATTATTATGGATTTATATCCATCACCACATTTCATTCTCTGGATGTCGTAACAGGCGAAAATGTGATATGACGGAGGAATCTTTTGGTTTCCAACAGATGGCCGTATAAATGAATTTTAATGTTTTTATTTTCTTTAAGGTGGCTGCCTCATTGGTTTATTGCTAAATGTGATTTATAATCATGAGGTCCAAGTTCGTATGCCGGCTTTGTCCGTAATTGAGTTTTTCCATCAAGAAATTCTCAGTAGCATTCCGGAGCCGCTGGCGGTATGTTTCACCCCCGTACACCGGAAAGCTGTAAAGCCGTTTTGTTTCTACGGCTAATCTCTCGCGACATCGGACGTGTCCGATTACTATCCCGTAAGGATTATGAAATTTATGTAGGTATATAGGTATGCTTGGTATATTTGAAGCATCGATCGTCAAATGTAAACTGTGTGTTCACAATATTTCATGTTCATGACATTTGGAGAAAAGGTTGACCAGGAGAAAAGATATGTCCAGAGTGGTAGAGCCATGCTGCAGCTATATTATAGTTGTCCCATGAATGGGTCACCTCGACCCGGGATCGGAACACCCTCTCAGAGAATACCTGCGGAAAATTGCAGCTTAATGCTGCTGCGTTTAGTATAGTAAGTTTTTTTAATGAAATCGAGGCATTCCGTCTTAGTCCTCAGGGGTGACAACGCATCTGCATTTTAATTCTTAATCGAGGATAAATGTAGTAGTCTATGAGCCACAGCTAGGGTTACCAACTCTCGAAAGGACCTACCCGGAAGAATTTCATGAAATCGGAGGGGGAGGCGGAGGGGTGATTGAAAGAAAATATCAATCATCTATAAATTTTAAAATTTATATTTACTTTGGTTTCGCGCAATAACTAACATTTGTCGATTCGAGACACAAAATCATATAAGTATTTACATGAAAAATTCAAGTTTGTTAGTACTTGTAACTCTGCTTTTACTAGAGAAATACTCATTCGGTTTCTTTCCTTGTTCCATGATTGTTCCATTGTGCTGGACACGCGCTCACAAGAAGCATTAGAGACAGGAATGGAAAAAACGACGTTAACATTTGTTTTCCATTCAAGACTAGAATTTCTATCTTTCGATTACGTAAAGAAGTCAACTATGCGTAAATCCACGCGATTTTCTTCAACGAGCTGTGGTTGTATCTCACCCAAACGTCCAACCTCATCGTACAGTTTATCACTATCTAAGTCAAGCATTCTTGACTAGCTGGTTCTAAAACATTTTCAGGAATACTGCTCGCTTTTGTTGTTCCGCATAATACTTTTTTCACAGTCATCGAATCAGAAAACATGACAGCGTTTAATTTATGTCCACAGACTTGACTATGATAACTGTGAGAATGTTTGATACTGTGGAAAGTTAAAGTAACTTCAGCAGCGGTAATTAAAATTCTCTTTACTGTTTTAAGACTGCTTTTTTTTTTCAAAAAAAAAAAAACCTTGATATTTTACCGTGATGAATTGTTTTGGCGTTCTAAATAAAGGGTTTATGATTCGAAGATTTTTTATGTTGTTTCACAGATACAAAACCGTCATACTGAACTGCAAATAAATACTGACATGTTACATTTTGTTGTGAACTCATAATTTTGGGATCACCACGTATGTTGTTTTAACAACAGATCATTGTAGTACTTTTTTATTTGCACCTACTCTCGCTTCCCGAGTTATGACGATCCATTTTTCTCAAATCACTTATTGCCTCTCGTTATCGCAATACGCATTTCACTGAATGATTTATCTAATTAGGCTGAGAACAAGAGACAAACGCGCGACATACTTGGCAAGCCACAGGGGAAGTACCGCATTTAGCCGTGTCTCTCTGTCACGCACACAGATTACCCTCGAAGTAATCTGTGGTCACGCTCGAGGCGCACGTGGCGTGCGTGACATAAACAGACACTGCCGAATTGACAAAGTGGACGGCGAGACGAACAGATAAACAGATTTACACCAGCAGCGGCACGCGGTGTTGTGTGTGTGTCTTCCGGGCAATCCGGAAGGGTTGGGAACCCTAACTACAGCATCCACTTAACATCATTGTATTGTGTGCTCGTTTGTCACCCTTAAACTATGAAATAAAAAGGTTGGCTTACTTTTCTTCAGACCTCCAGAGAGTTCATTACCTCTCTAAACTCACCAGTAACGTAACAATTGAGTCAAGATTTTTTGTCCCATTTATATGTACCAGCGATAAATATCCAGATCAGAGGCAAGAAATTATTCAATCTGCCACAGCGTTGGGAAATGGGAGAAGCTTATAACTATGATAATAGATTCCCTTACACCGCCATTATGTCTGCACAACGATCGACTCAACTGGGGAAATGAACAGACAAGACCTGACGGAACACCAGGGTTAACAAGCAAGCCTTCTGTATACTAATAAGCTTTCTGTATTCTTATTTCTCATTATCAGCGTAATCTTCTGTTTTAATGTACACACTAAATTCAAACCACTAATGGATATTATTATTTTTACTGTATAGCATCCTGTGGGTCTCGTAAGAGACGACAAAGGGAAACAAATCTTAATGGGAAGCAGCGTCTTCCTTACAGTGAATTAAAATTAAAATACTGCGATTGCCAACTTTGCGTTGCCAAGCGTGGCAACTATAGCAAATATCCCCCCTGGTTGCGCGGAAAACCATTCGCGTTTTTTATTTGATGGTAGGAACTTGTAGAATCATTATTCCTTTCCAAACAATATCATTCGTACCCTCCTATCGACACATCGGGGTGGTGGGGTGGGAGGGGAAAGAAGACGATTCTAGAACATCGCGTAATCACCCGAGCCGAGGATATATAAGACACGCGCGACCGATGCGCGAGCCTCTTCTCCCGCCGCAGTCGTCGTTGAACTACAACCTCCTCTTCCCGCGCGCTCGTTTGGAAACACCTCACTAGTGGAAACCGCTTTGGCCTGGAAGCAGTCGAGCTCCAGGAACCCGCCTCACCTCGTGTAAGATATCGTCGCGCACCGCCTCTCTCCGGAGTGTTCCAGAAGTCGCTATAGTGATCGACAGGAAGAAGAAACCCCGGTGAGTCAATATTCCTTAATTATACCTGCTTGCTAATAGTTTAACCCGCTCCAATCTGTGTTTTTTTCCTAGTCAAGCAGGATTCCTTTCATCGATTCGACAAGTAATAGTTTAGTTTAGGGAAGAGCGAGTGCATTGTACCGCATGCTATAGTAGTCGCTTTTACGTAAGCGTAGAAGCAATCGCATATACAGTCCACTTTAGTTAATATCTCGCGTAGTAGGTTTGAGGTTTGACCGGGGAACTAGATTTTCGACAGCCTTAAACACGTGGCTCCACCATTTTATGGTCACTTCGGCAGGATCTGGATTGGTGTTTAGTGGTTATCCAACCATTTTCTGGTCGAATTATTAAATTAATTGTTTAGATAACGCACTCTAATTTATAGAATAGACTTAAATAGTGTTCGTTTAAATTAAAATTTTGATTTGTTACTCGCAAACAGAATTATTCATTTAATAGCGCTCGTATTTGGTTAAATTTAAAGCTTATTAAATAATTGAAACGGCGTGATAGCAACCGTTTGATACGCTTACCCCACAATTTTATAAAATTATTAGGTTTAGCAAACGACGCGTAGCCTTGACTGCATCGGGCGCTCGATCTGATTACGTAATACGGCACGCCGAGTATTCATCCTACGTCGTTTATGCGTGTGAGATTAATTGTGATTAATATAACTTTATTATAATAATTTAAAATGGCAGTTAGTGGAAGTGAAATCAAAATTAAAACGCTTTATGCCAAGAGGGACATACTCTTTTCGCGTGTGCAGAATATAAGTGATTATATAAAGAACATTCATATAGAGGCAGTACGGGAGGCCTTTTTAAATGAAATCGAAACGATAGATAATTTGCGGACAGATTACGAAAGAATATTAGATCAAATTAATCATTCGGAACTACAAACCGACCCGAAATACATAGTGAACTACCAACCGCTGCTGGCATTCGAAGATATGTTGTGTCGCGTGAAGAGAACCGCAAAATTGCTACAATCTCAAGGTGAAGCGAAGCCTGAAATGCAGGTACGCCCTCGTGACTCAATTAGGTTACCGCCAATAGATATTCCGGTATTCAATGGTGATATTAAGACGTGGCCCTTCTTCTTCAGTAGTTTTCAAAACAATATACACAACAACCCATCGTTATCGGACGCTGAAAAATTATATTACTTAATTAGTAAACTTAGTGGCAGAGCACAGTCGATCTGCTCGGGTTTTACACCTACAGCAAACAATTACGTATTAATATTTGAAACGCTTAAAACTAAATATGAAGATAGGAGAATGTTAGCTTCCGAATATTTGAACCAGATATTCGATCTTAAACCTATATCATCCGCGAACATCAACGGCTTAGAGCAGTTTCTCGATAAATTTGTGGCATCGGTGGCTGCACTTAAGAATTTGAAGTTTAATGACCTCATGGACGTGGTGTTTCTCCATATAGCATTAAAGAAATTAGACTCCGACACCGTGCGTGCGTTTAAAATGGAGCATCGTAGCTCGGAGATGCCTTCCTTTCATTCATTAGCATCGTTCGTGCGAGATCAAATAAAGGTGATGCAGCGCTCACCGAACGTTAAACAGGAGATTAAAAGGTGCGTCGACCGTAGACAGACTCAACCATCTAAAATAGCAGGGTCGTTAACTTACGTAACCGCTACGCCGACATCACTCCAGCATACTTGTATAGTATGTAAAGATAAACACGGTAATTTATATAACTGTGCGACTTTTCGTAAATATTCACCAAGCGAACGTTATAAGTTAGTAAAAACAAACAACCTATGTTTGAACTGCTTAAGCGATAAGCATTTAGTTGCAAAATGCAATTCGAGTTCCGTATGTAGCAAGTGCGCCAGGAAACATCACACGCTATTACATTTTGAAAATAGCAACATAGCGGCGTCAAGTAAGGCGAATAAGGAATTCACCCCTACTAAGGTCAACGATTCTAGCGGTCGACCTGGTGATGTCGCTCTGTGCTCATTGGCAAATATGGGAGCACAACCTCCTTCAACCGTGTTACTGGGTACGGCGCGTATTTTGGTTAGGGATTCGCGTGGAAACAAACAAAGCGTCCGTGCACTGCTGGACAGCGGAGCCCAAAATAGCTTTATAACACGACAATGTTGTCAGCGCTTAGGCTTAGTAATAAATAGGTCACTTTCATGTCCTGTAGTTAAAGGCATCGGAGGTACTAGTAAAGCGACACAGGGATATATAAATTTAAAATTTTATTCTCGGATAGATCGTAACGTTAACTTTGATATAAATGCACTAGTAGTAGATAGGGTCACTGAACGGTTGCCAACCGTTTCGGTTGACACCTCGGCAATGATTGAATTTAAAAATTTGACTCTAGCAGACGACACTTACGCCGTTCCTGGAAACATAGACATGCTCATTGGGGCATCGCTTTTCCCTCATCTTTTGTTAAACAATAAGGTCAGGGGCAACTCCTCGCATACCGCGCCTTACGCACTGGAAACCGTATTGGGCTATGTGATCCTTGGCTCCGCCCCCATCCTAGATAGTATTTCGGCAGCCTCTTATTGTGGTATGGCTGTCGAACCGCTCGAGTCGTTAGTCCGCAAATTTTGGGAGATGGAGGAGGTGAACGTCCCACCCATAGCTAGTTCAGATGACAGGATATGCGAGGAAATTTACGTCCGCACGACCGTTCGTGATCGCGACGGTAGATATAGTGTAGCGCTACCCTTTAAGGGAGATGTTTTATCTCTCGGCGATTCGCGTCAAATGGCGGAAAAACGTTTCTACAGCTTGGAGCGTAGGATGCTCGCTTCGCCCCAGTTAAAGGAAGCTTACGACGGCGTCATTAACGAATATATAAGAGAAGGTTACATATCACTTGTGGCTTCGAAATTAGATAACTACGAAGACACACCGTCGTATTTTATACCACACCACGGAGTCATTAGAGAGGACAAACTTACATCTAAATTACGTGTAGTGCTCGACGCTAGTGCTAAAACTAGCACTCACCTGTCGCTTAACGATATCCTCTATAGTGGGCAAAATTTACAGGGCAGTTTATTTGATATAATAGTCAATTTTCGTTTGTTTAGTATAGCACTATCCGCCGATATTCGCCAAATGTTTCTTTGCATAGGGGTCCGTGAATGCGACCGTAGATTCCAGCGCATTTTATATCGTTTCCACCCAAAGGAACCTCTAATGGTGTTAGAATTTAACCGCGTTTGTTTTGGTTTAAAGTCGAGCCCATTTCATGCGTTACGCACGGTGAGACAGCTCGCTCACGATGAAGGTCCCTCTTATCCTAAAGCTAAGAGGGCAATTGAGAGCGGATTATATATGGATGATTTTGTGTATTCGGTCGATAGCGTGGAGGAGGCCACCCTAACCACCGCCGAGGTTATAAGGCTCATGAAATCGGGTCAATTCGATCTTGTGAAGTGGACTAGTAATTCGCGTCCGGTTTTAGATACAATCCCACTATCACACCGTCTTTCGGCGATAAAGGAATTCGACGATTCTGATACACACAAGGTGCTCGGTCTGTGTTGGTCACCAGAGTCCGACGTGTTTAGCCTTAAGGTAAATCCGCCCGTAGAGAAATGCACAAAGCGCACAATACTGTCATGCGTTGCTAGATTATGGGACGTCATGGGTTTCGTAGCTCCGGTGGTATTATACGCTAAGCTTTTGATTAAACAACTTTGGTTATTTGAATGCGATTGGGATGACTCGCCGCCTGACAGCATTGTTCGATTGTGGCAGCGCTTTAGAGAGGAACTTCCTTTACTAAGAGAAATTAAAATACCGCGTCATATAAATGTCGATAGAAATAGCAGCATAACGGTTGTTGGATTTGCAGACGCCAGCGAGAAGGCCTACGGGGGCGTTGTATATTTCCATGTCCAGAATAATGGTAGAAATTCGATTAGCCTCATTAGTTCTAAGTCGAGAGTCTCCCCCCGTAAGGTTGTCTCTCTGGCGCGCTTAGAGCTTTGCGCAATATTAGTACTCACCAAGCTTATTACCACAGTTATCGGCGCATGTAGGGATAGAGTTCACATAGAAAGAATATTTGCCTTTTCCGACTCCACCGTCGCCTTATGTTGGGTTCATTCTTCACCCCACCGTTGGGATACGTTTGTCGCGAACCGAGTGGCCAAGATCCAAGACGAGTTAGAAACGCGGAACTTTTATCACGTGTCCGGTAAGGAAAACCCTGCCGATTGTCTATCCCGGGGACTCACCCCGATGCAAATAATGGACCACCCGCTTTGGTTCCATGG